AATTAATATAGATGAAAATATTTGTTTGGGGGAGCGCAGCAGAATGTTAAAGCATAAAGCCGTCAGAATCCTGATGACTTCATGTTGTATGATTTGATTCATTGGAAGCCTGTTTTTGGACCTAAGTGATATGAACTGTTAAATCATTTTATTATAATGTTCGTAAAGTTCATCACTGTCCTATAACCTACTCAAGTAACACAGACATATTCGATTGGAACTTGAAACTCAAAGACTACAAGTCAAGTATTAACACCATTAAACAACAAATTTATATATGGATTATTAATAGTATTTACGAAACATATTATTACTAGAAAACAATATCATAAATTCATAGCCATTACTAAAAGTCACTTAGGCATTGAAATGATTCAAACAATCATAAGATATGGACGTAGTCAATCCATATATCGTGAATGCTTATTGTCATGTTGACCAATTCAAATAGTATACAAGTTTTGGTACACGTAATTAAACACAATCTGTAATATTTATTATAGTTAAAAGTAGCTTATTCACATTGTTATTAACCTTGTTGCTAATTTCACATGGTATAAGCATCAAATGATAAATGCTGTGAACATGACTGTGCATATTACCCGTAATTCTAATACAATACAAGCGTTATTTTATCTTCAAGTGATGGTAAATTCGTAGCTACTATAACACGTTTTGTACAGATCTGGGAACTTCTATGGCATATCTATTTCATTACAACGTTCATTTATGGATAAATTTTAATGCAAAAATTATATCGCATATTCATTTTATAATGTCTGTAATAAAGTCACAAACATATAAACCAAAGTTAATAAATAAATTCATTATCCAAATGGAAAAGCACAACTAATCTAATAACCCCTCATCATATTCATATGATTTACTGTGCTAATAGTATACATATTGTTAAATGAATACAGAATGCAAGGTCGAGAAATAAGTTTTTCGTTATCATAATGCATATGATCAAAAAGATACATCAAGAGAAAAGATTTATTAATCGAAAATTAAGGACTGTTAGAAGCATACATAGTTTTAGGTTTATATATCATATGATAATGATTACTAATAAATAATTTTATTTGATCATTTAGAAATAATATCATTACCATAATGTGAAAAAGCAAACATACAACTATAGTTTGCTCATTTACCATAACGTAAGTGATGGTTATAAAGAGTTTACTTCATATTTACTTAAGTTATTGTTGTGACAAAAAATGACTTTATAGAGTAGTTTGAAATCATTTAATCTGATCCCATTATTAAATGTTTTCACAAAATAACAGTTGAATTATGAGAAATGATTTCATTTTGGTTTCAAAATTTTCAACGATTATTACAACTAAGTACTATTTGAATTAGACTGTGCATTTCCAAAATTTAAAGTTATTAAACTAATGACAAATTATGAAATCAAACTATGGTGATTTGGTTAGTATCTACTTATGTTACTGAATTAAACAAGTACGTCATCAAAACTAGCATTGACTATATATATAAGGGCGGCCTGCTTGAGCATCTGGGCTACCTGTTCCTGCCATCTAGATATTTCAACAAGTTATCTATTGTTGTTTGTTTTAATATATCATTATGTTTATTAATCGCATAACCTATTCTGCTGCGTTTCTGAAAAGTGTACAACCTTTCGTTGTCAAAGTTACAGAAAACTCAATAAGAGACAATATGGTTGCTGGCAATGTAAAACGAAAAGAATGTACATTATTCAGTTGTTCATTCACTGAAGTGCTAACATCTAACTGGCGATTCCTCAATATTTATCGCCAGGACCGACCAAGAAGAAAGAAACGGAAACTTGTTGAAATACTTTGCGCTGAGAATTCTATATTGTACCAAAATTATAATATTGAATAAAGCTAATAATAATAATAATAATAATAACACTTTGCAGTCTTATTTGAACAAAAGATGGTGTGATTCCCCAGCTTAACATTCTCTTGTGATAATGAACACTGCTAGTCTGGAAAGCTACACAGGATATTGATCACGGTGAATCATGGTGCAAGGCTTTTGTGGAATTATGTCCAAAAGCGATTAACAAGTTTTCCTTTTAGATTTAATCCGGTCGCTAACATTACTTACTGCAATATCCACCATACTTTTAACTGAATAATCTGTAACTGCTTACATCTTGTATAAATTAAAAACTTATGTGCAGGGCAATAACGAAATGTAGGTTTTTATAATCTGTTTGAAGTCACATTTTTACACGAGTTTTAGTGATACTCCACAACTAATTTAAGAGAATTAGAGTTTAGGTTTATAACTCCTAACTATTAAAAAGTAAGTTGAGCCGTAAGGTTTACCAATGTCTAACATATGTGACATGGTTTTTATTAGATATATAATTTGAGAAAAACCATTGGTGTTGTATTGTGAATAAAACTAGGTGATCTTTTGTTTCAGTACGAAAAAAACATCCAGTTAAAGTGAACTCATGTAGCTCAAAGCGTCAGTTTAAGAGATATAAGTGTTTGGAAGTAAGATGGATGAGTTCCTCAGAAACCTTATAGATGCGAAACAGGAATGTGAACTAGGTTATTTGCATACTATTTTGTATTCATGACAACTCTACTTATAATCGTTAAAAACAAAATACTTAGCCACTATGCGAGTGCCATGTTTACCAAGTATTATGCCTTCTTTTGTACGTTGGTGAAAAATTTGGCAATTTGAACAAACTTGGAACTAGAAGTTGATTTTATTGGTAATTAGTAGACTGGTAGCAATTTTCATCCCAAAGCATTCAAACTATAACTAATTAAGTATTTTGAATAGCAGATTAATTTGCAATTTTAACGACAGATACCAGTCAAATTCGATAAATTAATTGCTACATGACTCACTTACTGTACGCTAACTTACCACGACTGATAACAACTTTATCTCTAGTGTATGTAATTCAGTGTCAAAAATGTAAATACGGGCCGACTACCTCAAGAGGTGGGACATAACTTAGTCGTTAATATAAGGCCGTTCCAAGATACTTTTAACTATTCACTACACCTGCAGCTTCTCAATAATTTGAGGGAATGCACCCATACATTCGGCTGTAAATAGTTAAAAGATTATTTTGGTCGCTACATTTATTCCATCTGTTAAGTGCAATAAAAACAATTATGACTCATAGGGAATTAAGTTGAACCGTTTAGATTGTCTTATTTTGGAAGCCCGATAGTTAAAAAATTAAGACTGCATACAGTGGTAAACTATGTAACTATGTATTTAGAGAAAGTAGCTAAACTATAAAGGCGTGAACTCATAGACTAATAAACGTTTAGTGCATTTTTTCGGCTTACGTTGTAGTAGTTCAGTCATAAAACTAATCTCAAAACATTTCGCTGTTTTACAGACAGTGACAAAGTCATAAATTTTAGGCCACTCTAAATGTAGAAAGTTTGAACAGAAGTAGACATGAATGAGTTTATTTTGAATAACGATAAGGAAACAGGTTGTGTTTTTTTTATTAGTAATTAATGGAAGTAAACCATGTTCGACTTCTATTATTACATGATTTGTGTTTAAAGTCTGTAAACGTTTTTTGTTAGACAGTATATTGGGCTAACTTAATAGTAAAAATGTTGCTTTACACCAGAGACATTTAAAGGTACAGGCCATTTCAAGCCTTAAGTCTCCTGACAACCAGGATAAGCTAGATGATGGACAAACAATTAATGAAGAGTTCTGTAACATGTCGAAAAGCGCCAATGCTCTATGTTTAACAATATCTAAAATATTCTAGGGAGGGGATTAGCAAACCAACCTCTGTTTAGGTTTGGAAAGTGGTTGGACGAAAAATAACTTCACACTGCTAAGAGAACTCACCACAAATAACGAATTCCACGGATCTCACCATTTCTTAGAAAGAACCTGTACAAGGTTAATGACTGGACTGTCATTAGACTTCCGTCACCTTATACTTGTAAACTTGGGATACTTATGATTAAGTATGGTAAGAATGTCGTTGCAAAATTACTGAACGTAAATGTCACTACAGATAATTCTAGTATCACACCATCCACCATAGAAAAGGACATGAGCATTACCGCTTCATGGTGTGCTTCATATCTATGTCAGTTTTCATTAGCCAGGTATTAAAAACTACAGATGAACAATTGAATCAACCAAAAATCAAGAGGTCTTTTGAAAAAGATGTAGGCTCTGTCTTTCATTGATAAATGGATTAAAATTTCGAATCGTGCGGGAGAAAACATGAGAATGATATATAATCCGAAACTTGCCTCAGTTGTTCTTTGGTTTGCTCAACAGTTTTCTGTAGGATTGCTTGGGCTCCTTTTATTACTTCTATCTCTTTTATGAGCTCCATTTGTGCATCGTCGTGGACGAGATCAATACCTGTTCTTCCCTCACTGGGAAACAGTCGAACTAGTAAACTTTTACTGAACTTACCGACTGAGTAAACACTGCTGAGCAAAGTGAAGAGGTTCTTCGGTTGCTTCGAGTGTTTTCTTTAATCGGATAAAGTACTCGTCCAATATTTCAGTTTCCTCTGAAGTATCCTGCAGTTTTTTGTTGACTTCTGACTTCCAGTACTTAACGTTAGCAATTCTTAGATCTACTACATGAAACTTTTCATACAACAACGACCTACCAAACTTTTTCTCCACATCTTTCAGGGTTTTTTCGGTGCGTTTGGCTGTTTCCTCAATGAGTCTGTCACACTCATTTTGTAGTCCTTGTGATATTTCACGTTCCTTCTCTGCACTACGATACTTTAAATTGTTGCTATACGTCCATTCTTTATGTGTGAAGCGTTGAGGTTGCCGCACCAATCCAGCCATTATAAGGTTTTTTTACAACCTAGTAACTAAACGTTTTGAAACTTTGCGCTTCATGTCGTCATAACAATAAATCTACAAATTGGTTATAGTGAAGGAAACACCAATATATCCTTTTAAATAAAGAAACCATTCTAAAAAAATGTACAATGTATGGTATATATGCTTTTGTTACACAAAGAGGCGGTGGCGCTCATTTAAATAACCGGTAGAACATGAAGGAAGAGGACGAACTTAACCTCACTGTGATCCAAACGTACGACAAGTATTGCACACAAATCCTGGACAAGTCTCCAAGTGCTCATGTGTATTCTTTCCAGAGTGATAAAAATGCATGGGTAAGTCCTTGATTTTTTCAACCCCTATTAGTACAACCTTGCTGCATTATGGCCTTCAGCTTTACATGGTTGTCTGATCTTTATAATGATAATTCTAAACCTATAACTCAAACAACGGGCGCTGAAATCTTCTAAAGGCTTTTCCTATTGGGAAATGGACATTTATTCGGATACCTGTTGCTAAAGTTAATACTTTTTTTTTTCAATCTTCTCATCTGTCCCATTATCTTGATAGTAAATACGTAAACGTCTGTTCATTCCCTGAGATTCGAGTCACATCTGCCTTGCATACTAAAAATCCTGCCTGATTTATAGCGTCTTACTGGTTGTGGCTTTTTTCATGTTCATGACTCAATTCATGAGTAGCGTTTTCACTGCGGTTGGTGTTGTGGTTGGACTGGACCCGGATAAGAATCACTTACCCTATAATATTCTGATGTCATTCTTCTGATGTGGTAAGACATCACTATATGAAGGCTGAATCATGTTTTGCCTTTTATGTATACATAGCTATGTGTATATAGCTATCATTACTCCCAAGTAATCGTCAAATAGTTGGCTCTGAAGTTTTACATACACGATATTTACGGAAATCCGTGTGTATGCATACATTTTACTAGTGAGACCCATTATATTTGGCAAAAACTTACCAGTAACAATTACACAACTCGGTCTTAGTTTTTGGCAATATATCTCATCGGTTCATGTAGTTTTTATTGACCCGACCGCAATGAGATGCCTGTTTGCCTGATAGGGTGACCGTCATAGACAGCAATTTCTTATAGATTATTTGTGGGTTATGGGACTCGGTCAACGCAAGTAAGACGTTTATCAAACCAACAATCGTGTGTACACTAGTCCGGTAGACGAAATATAACTGTTTTCATAAAATAGTGATGTATTGAAGATACTGATAAGAATGTCCTTAAGCCTTAAGTGCCAGTGCAAGAATGTCCACATCAAATATTTGGAAACATCGATGAGCTTACGTCACTCAAAAAATAAGGTGGGTATTCGTCGGTCTACTAAAAGGCGAGCATATTGCACATCGGTTTTCTCTGTTCCACTTCTTGGTCTTGAAAGGTGGTCTTTGAGGTCTTGAAATATTTGTTGGTTATTACTATTTGATCGTAGATGTCTTCAAGGCATTGATTGTGTACAGTAAAATGATGAAGTAGGTGATACCACGGTTTGTCGTTGTTTATATATTTAAACACAAACATCAGTACAAGGAGGCACCAAATAGATATGCGCCACACTAATCATTCGATTTATGTGAGGGCTGGGGTACTTCCCGAGTGCCCAAACCAGAGTAGGTGGTTTTCTTGGGAGACCACGTCCCGAGTCTTCGACCTAAAGGTCTGATTCACAAGGCAGCGGCTCAATGTAAGGGTATGCAGTCCCATGGTTGCCGGTAACCAACAATTGGTTCATGCACCATTAGTTTCTATGGGATTCTGGAGTCCATGTACACTATTCGTTTGGAATCAGGGTTTTCCAACTCTCCTAGGTGGATCCTCCATACCCATTAAACCAGTTAAAGCGCCAAACATTTGCTTTACATCCTTTCAATTTTGTAAACAATCACACGGCGAGAAGGTAGTGAGTAGAACGTCCCTGGCAGTGGCTGTATACTCATGGCCATGTGAGAGAATTTCGGCCGTACCAGGTTATTTGTCGTATAAAGTTTCATTGAACATAATTGTTTATTCTTTCGTACCCAAACTTTCCCTCTAATTTTAGGCTAAAACGAAAACAGGTGGCATATTTTTCCTATATAAGCGGTAAGTGTAACTTACCAATATATTTCTTTCAGATCAAAAGTTCCTTTTTTCGCTTTCATGATTCTGAATCGTAAGAGTCCGACATTGAATCAAATTGAGTTAGTGACTGCAAGTTTACAGCTTCAGCTGCACTGTCCTTTTCTTTTATATAAGACTTCGAAAGGTAAATAATAAATGTCCTTAGCACAACAATAATATAGGGGATATATTCTCCATCTGGTTCTTCTCTGGTTCAGATTGTGAACGCATCGCGGAAAAACTTGGCAAGTAGGTATTCACATTTTTTTATAATTAGTCTCTCTACTTCATGTGTGAATTCATCTACTTCCGTGTCCAGAAATTCTATCGTTTTCTTTAGGATTTCATAATCAGTAGAAGGGTTTCTAGTTCTTATCTTGACAGTTTATAGAATTTGAGCTTCATCTGTCTAGATCTCACATGACATATGACGTATTGAATACCTAGACTAGGAACGCTATACTTTCCCCTAGGTCAGAAGTGAACAGTTAGTTTACTATATTAACCTGTTCATTTTCTATTTCTCCAGATTACTCTTACACGTAATACCGTCTCACGTCATGATGTATGGTGATTTGACACGCATCGATAAATCCACTTCGTACATGTTGTTGAACGATCTGCCTTCCTTGCATAATGTTTTATCCTGAGCTCAATATATCTGAAAAATAAATATTGGTCGCCAGGACTCAATACAGGTCCCAGTGTTTTTCATCAAAGTTTGGTGAAAATTGCTTGTTTAATTCGGTCTGACGTTTTGAGCTGAAGTTTAAGATTATTGTCAGGATTATCAAAACTATGTGATATATTAGCGCAACACATTTCGAACAATCTAAACATACATACTTGTTAAGAACACTTGTATGTAAAAAAATATAAAAGGTCAACTAGACTAGAAATGGAGGGTAAGAGGAGACAAGAATAATAAAGAAAATAATGTGAAGATAATTTGAAACCTCATCACTCTGAATATTAAGCTAATATCACCAGGGTAGGTTTAAGGTGAGAACAAACTGTTTTTGAATAGACAAAGGGGGTTTAAATTTTCGTATGGTTAAGGCTACAGTAAACCTTAGTATACGCCCTATTACACTTTTGTACAACACCACAAAAACCGAATTAAGATTAATCTTATGACCTATTTCAATTATGTGTTTCACATTATTTTCTTTATTATTCTTGTCTCCTCTTACCCTCCATCTCTAGTCTAGTTGACCTTTTGTTTTTTATATATAAGTGTTCTTAACAAGTATGTGTGATCAGATTGTTCGAAATGTATTTCGATAATATATCACATAGTTCTGATAATCTTCGTTTCCTTATCACACTATCGAAAGATATCAGATGAGCCTAAATACGATCTTATAAATACTAGTCGCTGTGTTGACTACTAAACGTTTAGCACGACATGGAATTCTCAGTGTATGTACTTAAAGTAATCACAGCGCAACGAGGTAATCACAAATTTAGTTGTTTATTGACATTCCAGATCGTTTAGGTTGGTTAAACTGGATTATTGTTGCTCTGCTTCTTGTGTTCATCCACTGGGTTTTATTTTTCAAATTATTTCACTTTTTATTGAACTAGAATCCACATGAACTACAGTTAGCTCATAGTTGTGGTATGTTTACAAATAAACTGAACTTCTAATCATATTTGTTTCATAATCTTGAGCTAGGTTGTAGTTGACTGACCTACTTTTCGGCCACAATACTTTTAAGTCCACGTATACAATGTTTCCGTCTGTATGATTACATAAAATCTCTCAATAATGTTTATCGTATTCCGTCTGTATTTCATTTGATAGACTTGTTCACGACGTTGGTGGCTTAGGACTAAAGATAGCTCCTACAAGCCAATCCACAAATTCCAAATCTAAATCTTCCAATTCTGTGATGAATTCTATAGTGGCTGCTCCTAAATCTCCGGAAACAGTTACTAAAGGATTAAATCAGTTAATGGATTTCGTTCGTGCGTCCAATGAAAATTCCAAGGCAAACTCCTCAAACCCATCCAAAGTTAATGACAATGTATCTAATCATTCCGAAGGACCAAGTATATTTGACATGTTACACAAGGCAGAAGCCGATTTTAATTCAGGAGTTAGTATTGTGATTTTTGTTTATTATTTCGTTTAATATTTTCAACTCATGCTACTAGAATATGAACAATATTTTCTTTGTGTCAAGGCTTGAAACACCAAATAGCTACCGAGGCTCCAACATATGTAGTGGGGTTTTGATTGAGATCATGAACCGATTAATGTTAGACCACCATTGGAAATCTGGAAGCACTGGATGGCCGTTTCGTCCTATTATGGGACTCCTCAGCAGTGCGCATCCACGACCCCGCTCGCGGGATTCGAACCCAGGGGCTTCAGTCTCACGCGTGAACGCCTAACCTACTAGACCACTGAGCCGGCATCCCATGGTGTTAATGTCTAACCTCAACCAGGTTTTCACTGGTGGTCTAACACCAATCGGTTCATGATCTCAATCAAAATCTTAACAATCTCAACAACCCCTAAACTGATATGTAGTGGGTTTCAAACATAAAAATCTTTTGAGAGATCTTTTCGTAAACCAGTGAACAACAATAGTTTCCTTGAAAATAAATAAATGTTACTTATTGACCAAGTAGAAGCTGCACTTCGTGTTAAGGACAAAAATATCATATAGTTACTTAAATCAGAGTAGACTAACATGTGGTTCGAACATATGACTTAATGGTCGGAAGCCGGGAATTGTAACCACTAAGTTAGGGTTCTGTTACACGCTACGTTAAACCCAGAATTTCTTGCACATAGACTGTGTATAATCAACAAAGTTTAACTATTTCTCTATTCAAACAAAAAACATTGATTATCAGTAAATAACTTATATTTTTTGTGTTTGCTTGTTTGTTCCAGAGTAATCGAAGCGTATCACAATCAGGTAAGATTAAATCTATTTAAATTAACGTTTTCCATTTAAAAAAGGAATAAAACCTCGTTTTTGTCTCATTCATTGATTTTGTTAATGGTGTATATGTAGTTAGTGGTGACTTTTGCTTTTTTCTTTTTATTTACTTGTTTAGACATAACCGTCAAAAATGAACTACAACGTTTTCGTACAGCTTGCAATCTTCCAGTTTCAAATGGAAATAATTCATTCGGCAATCATTCTGGACCAAGTGCTAGCGGAGTTTCGTAAGTAGCATATTTATCTATGTGCTGTACACCCAAGTATTCTGGTAATGACTAATTGTTTAACGACTTTCGCTTATCAGTATTTAATGTACTTATGAAATGTTTTACTATGTTAAATTATGCGTGTTAACCATTAACTCTGTTCATGTTGTGTAATTTCTAAAAGCGTACATGTAGGATGTTCTATGGGTATTGAATATATTAATAGTGAATATTAAACCGTAGCCTAATGGTTACATTAATCAGCTCTCAACCACTAGGTCACTAGTCAGAATTCCAGCCTATACACTTCGGTTTGGGCAGCCAGGTAGTATTACTAGTGTAACTCAAACCCCAGAGTGCATGAATCTATACTCTTGTAGATAGGTTACATGAATTGTTTTTCAATGTCATTCTGGAAAGATCTTAAATAAGCATTTGTTTTTTGTTGCCGAACATTCGCTTTGATAACAACACTAATTTTTTCCTTAGTTTTGAATAGCAGGCTCAATTCATGTATCACAACTTGGTCACGATTTAAAATGATGAAATTAAGTAAAGTAAACTGAATAAATAGTTGATAGCGGTCATATGAATTGGGTGCGAAAGGTTATTCTTGACATTTTAAAACCTTCAAAGCTGCATCCCCGGAAAATAAAGTTTTCGTTACAAGCTGTCACATGTAAATACAAGATTCAAATGACCGTTCTCCAATGTTAAAGATTAATTTTAAAATTTACGGACAAATTTACGTCTCTGGTTGTTTTCAATTCGAACAAATTATAAAGTCTACAGTACTGTGTCCACTAGATACTTGAATACATATTACAAAAATGCTTTTTGTATGGTTGATCACTGTTTTAATCATTCCCCGTTTTAGAAGTTTATTTGTATTTAAGTAATCTTATTATTACTGCTAATTCTTACGCAAGTCATATATGACGCGTCTGATTAAGGCATTTTTATCGATCTGATTCGTGTTTGACGTCGAACACTTACCTTGTGTCTATTAGTATACTTTTTGAAATTAATCATCGCCTCTCATTCATATGCTAGTTTGTCTAAGAGAAATGGATATGTGTAGATAGAAGGTCTGAGTGAGCTTATTTACTAACCTATCGTATCAATCTAAGTTAACCTACTCATTTATATCGTTAATTAATATCCATCCAGGTTTCCAGAGAGCACTATGATTAACATGGTTCATTAAAGTTAGCACAGTGTTAATAGATTATTATCAAGCAAATGAGACTATTTGCAAATTAATTATTTGTTTCTAGTATATTTTGAAGCATTATTATCCTTGTTTATGGTTCGGATGTTTAGTCAGTCAAAACAAATATGGAAGCAATCAAAAATTATATATAGAGGTGAACTCATTGAAATGAACTATTAGGACAGTACTGAATCTTCAAAACATGGATTTTATTAAAATATAAATTATAGTTTCTGGCAACATTTATATGATTCATTACATTAGTTTTATTTTATTGATCATAATTCTAGTAAACAGTAGATATACTTATCTTCATGTATAGGGAGCCCCATTGGTAAAAAGTATTACATATATTTAAATAGTTGCTTCATTGAAGGTTGTAACCTCTTCGTTTACTTGTTTTCGGATTTTTATTTCTACCTATTTTAGAAGTAGTAAGAAGAATAAACTGAGTTGTGGGTCATCTCAGATTGTCAATCATATTTCTGTTGCTGAACTTGAAGAACAATTACTTCAGGAGCATATATCTGTAAGTTAGAGATATTTCTTGCCACTCATGAAATCTTAGTTGAAATCTTATCGGGTTAGGATTTCAGTCGAAAAATTGGCTTCAGCTAATTGATTTAAGGTAACAGCTGGTTGTGCTTCGTGTGATGTGTAGGTAGGTTGAGGTTCACTTAAACTCTAGGCTTATATAATAATCTTATATGATTTCTTACCAGCTAGACAACACCCTGAAAAAAATTTCTGTTCTCTAAGTTTATATCCACGTCGCCTAGTACTGTAAAGTTACTTTTATTGGCGAGTGTATGGATGGAGTAGTTTTGCTAATCATCCAGAATTTGTCATTTTTGTAGTAGCTCACAATATGAGGATAAAGTCACCAGTCCCTGAAAATGCTATTTAGCATAATTATCAGTTAAGTAGGTTTTTAATTATTCATTGTAGGTACGTGATTCCCACTTTATTCCTCAGTAATGTTGCTACCGGTTCATAAGAATACGAAATGTGGTGGTAGCGATGATCGACCATTCAGTGTTATCACTGCATTCTTTCGCGTCAAAATCTGCATATCGATCCGCTTTTTTACATACTTAGCAAATGTATATTCTTCCTAAATTTCTGTTTTATCGTATTCAATAGAATAACAAGCGATTGAAGTGCACTATATTATTCGTTGTCACACGTTGTGATACTGTTGTTATTTCAACTTTTCATACTCAAAACTAAAAATGCAAATAACAGTAATTATTTATCCTTGCCTTCTTCCATTAGCTTCCTGAAAACGTTGATGGGCTAACATCACGTTCAAAGATATCCGGTGATTTAAAAACAGTTGTCGCTACAGACGATAGTTCTCCAGATGACCAGGTGTTGTCACATGTGTCAGTCATGGAGTCTTCTGCATGCTACCTTGAAGGACATAAAGATACTCGTGTTGATCGAAATCGCCGCCTTCTTAGTGATGATGCTGGTTATGTGGATGATGTTGATGATGAGGAAGCATGCGAAGACCCTTGTGGTCGTGGTTTACCCAAAAACTATGGAGTTGGCCAACGTAAACAACGACGGCATATCCGTCAGCAACAAGAAAATTTTTCAGATGAAATACATTCACCATCTAATCGGTCGGTTAATCGAAACAAACTCTCAAATATCACTCCCAAGTGTAAAACGATTATAGGAGAAGACACACTCGTTACACCTGACATGTTAACCAGCATCCCATCATCGATTTTCCCCGGAATAATGTCCGAATTTAATTATGGTAAACATACTGTATCGAGCCCTTTTTCAGAAAATAAAGCCCCCATCTCGAAAACAGAAAAATCCGCGATGAATGAATATCTTACGAAAGATCAACTAAGAGAAACATTAATTCATTTGTTACAAGTAGGTTTCATTGTATTTTTTATATCAAATAATTAAGAAATACCCGGATTTCCTTCAAATATAAGTCGTTCAGGTATTGTGGAATTTGTTAAATTTTATTGAAATTACGAACCAATCTAAGTTTGACAACTATTGAAAGCCTGGAATTACTAGACGGTTGTTTCGTTCTAGTATGGGACTACACAGGACTGCGCGTCCTGGGTTTGACCCTTGTCTTTGGGGTCCGCTATACAATATTGTGAAGTCCCACACTGCCGTCCAGTGCTTACAGGTCTCATTGGTTGTTGGTTTGTGACTTTAATTAGTTCGTTCATTTCAAGCTAGTTTGCAATGCTTTTTTGTGCTAAAATTAAAATAGTTATCTCATTTTCCCATACCAGTTGTCAGTTATCACTGTTAATGCTCGCATTAGCTCACTAATTGTTAGACTTTTCTGGTTCAACTGTAGTGTTACAAATACTATCCTTAATATTTCTTCTATTCGGTTAGATTCGGTTAATTTCACTTGTCAGGTAGTAAAAGGTTGAAATCACCAACAAGCTCTTCAGTCTTGTGAAGAATGTTGCTCCCCGTTTCATCGTCATCTAGGAATATCTGTGATCTGTGATTAGATCAGAGAGAACCAGCTAATTCACTTGGGTTGTTCTTATCAAATGTACGAAATAATTCACTATAAGACTTGATCGTTCAAAAACATTCGTGAAAAGTATCCTTATATTGGTTCTAGACGTTCTTTTCGTGTCTTGTAACCGATTTTCACTTCACTGCCTCTTGAAAATCCTTTATTTCAATATTAAACCATATAGTCATTATAGATATGATTGCTCATTGTATCCACTGAAGTGTAAGACATTTAAGACTTTCTCTGTGTTTGTTTTGCTACTAACCACCAACTTTTCTTATTGCTGTTTTCTTTTCCAGACAGATGATGATTTCTTACATCGTATACATATTGGTTATGTTAATGTATTAGAAAAACGATTGCCCAGAAAGTAGAAAGTGCGATTTTCTTTATCTGTACTTATTGTTTTTAGTTTTAGTTTCATCAATAGAGAAAAGATATACATTGATTAATTAACTAATCAACCAACTGTATGTATTATGTCAAAATTAGATTATGTTAATTATATTTAATCAATTTATACAGTTATTGCATAAAAAAGGAAGAAGGGGACAAATGAGACATTCTCTGTTCAATTTTGTCATTGTTTCTTTTCTGGTTGTTTTTATTTCAGTATAAATTTGAACATTTTGTTTTTTGTTAGTGATATCTATCATCCATCGACGGTTGTAATTTCCAAGCATTTATTATTCTATGCGTTTATCTTATGTAAAAATAAGCCCATATACATGAACATACATATTGTGTATATCTTATTATTCATGTGAAAATACGTCATATATGAGACGTTTTTCTATTGTTATTCAATAAATAAATAGTTGGTTTTCTTTTTCAGGATTTCTACAGATAGTATCTTTTATCTACCAATTTCCCATATGTTGTAATGTATGTTTGTTGGTTCTTCCTCTGCAATATTGTATTCAAGAAAAATATTTATCCGAATAAAATTGAAGTCAGAAGACCTACTCAAAAATACAGTTGATCTTTGCTTATTTAATCGTATTGAATGCGAGAGTTATCAATGGAATTGTTAGTTCTATCTGAAAAAGTTTATTGGGACTTGCATATACAGTTCCTTACTTTTTTTATCTGAAGACAGATCTTATTTAACATATTTCTCTCCGTGTACATAATATTTAACTTCGTCCAATTGTTTCCTGCTAATAATAAACAGAAGCACGTTGTCCTACTGTTGTTTTCGCACCGTTTATGATTATAGGAGCTTAGTCAAAGCCGATAATCTTTTATTCAGGAAGCTTTCATTCCTTTGGCGTTTTTGAAAGATTTATAAGTCTTCCGTAAAATTATTCTTTAGCTCAAAGTAATATAATTGTATGCTCCAACTCTATGTAAGTTGTTTCTGTATGTTTGAGGTTGGTAAGGAAGTTTTCGTACACTCCATTTTAAGACCCATAGCAAATGTTATCTGAAATTCGATCACTTGTCTCAAATGAAAATTGTAATTTCTAACTGTTATGGTGAAACGTCGAAGCATCTACATGAACTACATAAGAAGCTTTTTCTCCAGTTACCCCTACTGGTCAAAGTTTCGACAAAATATTGAATTATTTTGTGCTGCTAATTACGTAAAATGTAGCCGATAGGTTACGAATAGTCATTTTAGTCAAATGAAATTTGAGTTGTTTTAGATATCAATCAAAAGATTTCTTGTGTTGCCTCAATTCCATATTCATTACAGTGTATGTATGAGAAATAAACGATATTTCACACTTCAGTACTGAAATACTCAGCGTTGTGCCGATTAACTGAAAATGAAAGCGTTTGTAGTAACTTTGAATTGAGGCAAGAATACGTGTTGTAACAAAGCATTATTCAGTAGAGTCACCTTGACATTTTGGCTTGACAAGGTACCCTTACATAACACTAAATACCGCCAATAGGTTTCCTGGAGTTCACACGTTCGACCCCATCTACTTAATTCATTAGTCAAGGTTATTTATGTTTTCAGTAAAACTAAGCTGTTTTACTATTTGTCAGAAATTTATTAATGCATAGAAATATAAGAAAAGGATTATTACGTTGTCCGTATCGTTAGCTGTCTACCTTAATATGATAAAGGAACACCGTGGTTCAATTTCGCTCTCTATTTACATAAATTTTCTAATGATTTTGTGTCCTACTTTTTATACTCCAATCGTTTGTTTACTATTGATATTTTTGTTATTCATCCACCATTTCCTCGAAAATGGGGTTGACGTCTGGACATATCTGAATCGTGTCCAATACCACGTCGATACAGTGACTTATCACCAATGCTTATTAATTTTAATTTGTACTTAATGCCAATTAATCAATCTGTTTTTGATTTAATAACAATGGTAAGGTCAAAACCCATGTCATATAAATCATTCATATTCTATAGATTTTAGAAATTAAAATAAATCTGAGAAGTATTACATACTTTCCTAAGTAGATTCTATTTATAAATAGTTTATCAGAGTTAAGTCTAAATATAAACTACCAGCATCTATCCTTCATGTAATAATTTGAATGAAAAACGTTCAACGGATAGTTTTATTACAATATTGACATGATCATATATAGTTTCTGTCTTAATTATGTGTCTTTGTGCTTCTAATCCAAACATCTCGTATTATCATTTGTTCTGTGAAGATTTGATTTCCGAACTAATGAATACTTTTTGACTAATAACTGTAATTGATATTGTTTGATAATATATCGGGATGATCTGGCTCCAAAGAAATGACTCAGAGATATCTTTACAAGCCCGATACCTCAGATACTGCTGATCCACCTTTATTCAGACAGTTTGAACCCAACAGTTTATTACATAGACTTAGGATATGAAATATTTTGTACAAACATCGAAATTAGCGAGGAGATTCAACCGAAAGAAACATTGCACAATTCGAAAAAAGCACGAATTCAAAAACTATTCTAATCAACAGGAAAACAAGCAAAATGTGCATTCTTCAAGAGTTCTGTTAAGTCATCAAACAAGTAGATGTACAATAAAGTTGCTACCCGTTATCTCAAGTTTCTAAACAATTCTATACCTCATCTTTAGTGACCAACGTAAAACTAATTAATTGCATACTATTTCAACATGATAGGAAAACTTCAAGTGATAGTCTGAATTTTGTATTTGACCGAAGCTTAGTATATGTCTAATACAGCTAATTTTTAAGACTGTAGTATTTGCTGAATTCATGTAATGACGAAATTCAATCATGAACAACTTGAGGCGATTGATTATGGATGAGTATTATTCCAGATAAAGGAAAGTTCAAGTTGTGTTCGAAGCTAATCTATCATATATAACGTCACAGTACAACATACGTAATTATCGAAGAGATTTATACTACTGAAGTATTAAAACATACTCATGTGACTATAATTAATATAGATGAACTTTGTGATTATCAAGTTATATAGATGGAAAGAGGAAAGTAGATGATCTAGTCAGAACATTATCAGGACTTTTTTATGATAAATCTCACTTGTTTAATCAAAAATGAATAAAACTGGCCGAAAATTTTAATGAATAATCGACCACATTTGTTAAATTCTTGCCGAATTTTACATCTTAGTAATAAATACTTCAATTATTAGTGTAAAAAAGGTGACCTAATTTGTTGAAGTTTAATTCACACTTCAACTATCAATAAGGTCTGTGAAAGATAATGCGATCACAGTTTGTGTAGATCTTCAAGGAAATATAATATTAACTTAGTTTGAATCTAGACAGAAGTGTATTCAAAGTATTTCGTATCGAAGACAGGTGATTAATTATTGATTATCAGTGTATGAAACATGTGGATCATAAAGTCAACCTGAAGTTTATTTAAACATTGATGATAGACAACTGTATTAAGAGGAAAATATTTCAAAATGTACTGCTCGTGTATACATTCTTTATAGATGAACAGATAAACTTCTAAACGTTTGAGTCGGCGACATTCCTTTTGTAAACGATTAATCTATCATTACCTGTTATAAATAATAACAAACGGTAACACTGGTAATCAGCATGAGTAGTTTTAGATATGCTTATATAGATACTTCGATAGATTTTTAAACAACCTGTAAACTGTTAATCCATTGGTATATCTTTTCGTTTGATTCAATCGACAATACCATATAGTCTAAAAAGCTCATCCTATTTAGGCAAATGAGTTTGTGTACATTTTTGAAATAGGCATAAATAGAATTTTACCTATGAGGCATCGAAAAAAGTTTTGCAAATACATTTTCTTCATTCTTGATCTGATACATAGTAGATAGTTATATATTCTGGTATTGGCATGGTAGTTAGAGAGGTTTGGGCATATATTTGGTACCATAATGATATTAGTCTGTTGTTAAAGGTTGAGTCTACATTCTATACGTAAGATCAGCCTTAGTCTATACTTTCCATAACCTAAACTCTCCAAGGTAATAATGTCCGAAAATTATCTTTATTCGATCATCATTGTCTCTAAAAAATTATTATTGAATTTCAGTTCAACTAATATGACTGAATAAAAAGACAAAATAGAATTATTAATTCATTGTGATTTTTATTAAACTTCACTACCGTCTTCAATTCAATATGATGATTTATTTCCATTGTGTATAAAATTGTTTTACTTCATTATGCTGTTTATTCAAGTTATGATATTCTTTATATTACATTAAAGTGAACTATGTTTAATATGAAATGCAACATGTGATTTTATGATGAATAAGGATAATTCTTATTCATGTGATATATTGCAATTGATAATCAAATAGTTCAACTAACTGAATATACAAATGACTGTATATTTCAACTAAGGTCTTCTTGGATCTTTTTGGATTGAATAAATCTTCAGTTGTATCCATCTTCTGTGTTGTTACTTCGTGTTGTGGGAATAATAGCGGTTCCTCGTTTCAAGTATAAATTATAGATGACTTGTATATGATATCAATACCATGTTGGTTATTGCTGATGTAATCCAGTGGCTTCCTATTTATGAGCTATTTTTCGACGATAAAACTGATTATAAACACCTGAGAGGTGGCCAGTATACGAAATGGTGTTGGAGTTCATGACTGGATAAAACTTGGTCCTGTCGATTTATAACGACTCCCTGATTGAGCGTTGTTCATAACCTGGGTATAAAGTATACACTAATACACTGCTGTAATAAAATCACACAACTATTTTATTACAATTGATATTGATAAGCGTTTAAAATAAAAAATATCATCTATGTGGGACATTTCTGTAGTAAACCACCTGTCTACTGATTGATTTGTAAGTAGTTAAATTTTACAGGTTGAATTTAGAATATTCTAATGTAAGTGATTGAACAAAACTTTATGACACTGAAAAACGACCGAATTTTTCAAAACCAAATATATCAAGTGAAATCATGTAGGTTGCGGTTGTTTAATATATATTAGTAATAGAAATCCCGAACCAGTCGGTGACAATTACCACTAAAGTAAAAAGTAATCACAAACCTTCATCTAAATAAAATCCCAACTGTCTCCACAACCCTATTATGATAATTATTGTGTACTCACCTGTGACTAGCTTCGAGAGATAATTCTCGGGGTTCTAGTGAGAAGTCGTAACTAATGGAGTTTAACCGTATCGGGTCTGAGTCAGTTACCCACCGAAGACAATGAAGGGTGGATTAGTCGAAGTTAGACATTAACACCATTGGATCCCGGTTCAGTGGTCTGAAGGTTAAGCGTTCACTCTGGACCAAAGGTCCTATATCCAAGTCCTTCTTGAGGGATCGTGATTGCGCATTGCTAAGTAGTCTGATACTATAACAAAACGGCCGTCCAATGCTTTCAGGTTTTCAATGGTAGTCTAACATTAATCGGTTCATGATTTAGATGAAATATAATAATTTGGTCATATATGCTATTTTTGAAGATGAGTTACCGGAGCTATAATAAGGAGACGTAGCCAGTAGATGTTATGCACGTCTTCACTGAAACCTTCGCCACCACCTTATTAGTATATTCTCTGTTATATTGTTATAATTGAATACAAACCCAATGGTCTTCAGTTTGATTCAAGGTTGAGTTGTGGTTTCAAATGCTAAATAGTCACATGTTAAGACGAAAACACCATCTAACGTTTCTTGGTTAAACTTATACTTCGATTGCCATCATTACGTAATAAATATCACTCATACAGTAATATTTTCAGTATATGTATAATGAAC